AAACCTATTTTATGTGGCATCAGTTATATATTATTGTATTAGAATAATTACTTCCCCTCAATCGAACAATAATCTGAAAACCGATTGTTTTTTTACGTCATGATTAAAAATTTAATTATAATATTGATTAAAAATTTAATTATGAAGAATTGTGTGAGAGAAATCATCCTGTTCAGTCGGTTTGTGTTGAAACTGTACTTTATTGTTCAAAAGATATATTAGCGCTGTAATCACAGCGAATGTCCGATTGTTTTTTTTCCTTTTTCTAATCATCTTACCTCTACTCTTCTTTATCAAAATCTTTAGGCACTTTATTGCAACTAACTACTGAAGATGGAATTTTTGAATTTGCTGTGTTTCGCGAAGATTTCCCATTTGTATACGAAGTGGAAACTGTATTAAAGGTGACTGAATGGAAAATTTGTAGAAAGCCGAATGCATTTTTTATGTCAAATTTTTAACGCTAACCAACAACTGTTTTTGTCTTATAAAAATTTTATTCTGATCTCATTACCCACGTCAAGTGATTTTTATTTTTTCTCCGGATGTCGATGAGATATAATGAAAACCGGAAGATTGATCTAACAGATTTACAGAAATTATGTTTTTATAATAACAAATTACTCATGGACGCCCTTGTACAGAAGTAAAACAGATCTGCCATGAATTGAATTCAATATCAATAATGGAATCATTTGAATTGTTAGAAATGCTGATTGGATCTCGTGGTATGTATTCTCTTCGAAGACATCAAACTTCGTTGATAGAGGTTTTTTCATAATGATGTTCTGCATTCGAATAGTTCTGAACTTCTAGAGTGTAAATAAAAGAGAAAACGTTGATGAAATGTCATAAATATGATGAAAATATAAATGTTCAAAACTATGATCAGTGAACTTACCTGCTATCTAACTTCCTGACATTGCTATAATTCTGGATATCATACACCACGAAGAATCATCGTTGAGACACGGTTGAAGAAGTATGCTCATTCTATAGAAGAGTTTCTTAGATGTGGACATGCTGCAAGACTCAATTACACACTGTGACCTTTTTCCTCTGTACATTCGAAAAGTTGAACATGCGTAGAATCAAGAGTTGCTAGTTGATATAGATCACATTAGCCACTCAAGTTGACAATTATGACATATGCCACGCATGCGCACGCAACCAGTATGTGGGACGCCAGGAAATTACTGTTTTTTTTTAATGAAAAATCATCAACTCCTAAATTCTGAAACCTGAATCATCATGACCACCAAATGATTCCTCAACAAACCCGTATTTAATAAAAGAAAGGTATGATTTTTTTTTGAATTTCCATACTTCACTGAATTAATTATTTAATTGAAACTAATGACTCCTAAATTGTACTTATTTTCTTCAAAATTCTGCCAAAATACCACTTCAATATTTATTAAGAAAAAAATCGGAAAAACCAATAATAATATAAGTGTGAAATCAATTCCTCCTACCTTAAGCCTACTACGCATGCGCAAGTGTCCTTACTATATAGTGTACGCAAAAAAGTACGTTTTTATTTTTTACTAATAAAACCATTTACTCCTAAATTATGACACCTTGATTATAATGACCACCAAATTATTCTCCATCGGTTGTAATTATTTTTGAATTGTTTCATCATAACTTCTGCTCATTATTATTGTAAAAAAGGAAAAATCTATTAAACAACAACTAATTACTCCCAAATTATAATTATGTTCTCCTAAATTCCACCAAATTACCACCTAAATATTTATGAAGAAAAAAGTTTGAAAAGTTAATAAAAAAATTATATTTCTTCCAAATGCACAGTGCCACTGGTAGCGTACCCATTCGCAAAAAAAGTATGGCGGGCTGCTATAATGCGGGTACAGTGTCGGTACATCGTACTGATATCATACCCATTCAAAATACACGTTACATTTTAACATTTTAACTCTTTAGCATTTTTTTTTATTTTCAGCATTTGAGGTCATCAATAATAGCAAAAAATATAAAAATTTATTTAAACTTTATTAAAATCATTAGAGAAGTCTGGGTCCGTTGACATCGCATCAGTATCATAAAGGTACGATTCCAGTACGCCGTACTAGTATTGTTCTGGTATTGTACGAGTACGACGTACTGCTATATTATAAAGGTGCGATACCAGTACGCCGTATTAGTATTGTACTAGTATGGTACGAGTACGGCGTACTGGTATCGTACCTTTATGATACCGATGCGATGTAAATAGATCCGTACGTTTCTCATGATTTTAATGAACTTTTAATTAATTTTTATATTTTTTAACATTATATTGATGACCTAAAATCCTGAAAATGAAAAAAAATTGTGTTAAAAATAATTTTGCTCTTCTGCGCATTACTATCGCGCTACCATGTGGCGACGTCACTTCCGACGTTCCTTCTCCCAGAGAAACCCCACCGAGCTAGACGTGTGTTTTTTCGTGTGTCATAGCAGTGTTTTTTGGAAGAAGTTTTTAGTTTCAGCAGGTGTTTTGTGTGTGAGCAGAAAGTGTGGGAGCCCGGGATTACTTGGAAGTAAGTTTTTGAGCTCATTTCCCTTTAAAAAGTGTAAAAAAAATCCATTGCAATTTCAGAGCCAGGAAAGGGCGAGGTTGGGGCCCTTCCCACTATTAATCATTCTATTTTTCAGGTACGCCTCGAGAATGGCTTGAGGACACAAGCTGTACAGTGTGTCCCACAAGTAAGAATTGTCATATTAACTTTATAACTAATTCCATTTTTACCTTTAATATTAATGTTTGTTTTTTCTCTTTTTCAGCACTTCTCAAGGAGACAGGACGATGCCCACATCTCCACAAGCAGCCCAATTATATCGTTAAAGGCTGATGTATGGATGATCTTGTTAAGTTTAAATTTATGGCCTGGATGGACTATCTCTTGAATGTCATTTTTTGATTAAATTTAATCTTTTTAGCTTAAAATTTGATCCGAAATTCCAACGGATTTCAAGCTAAAAAGATAAAATTTAAACAAAAGATGACGTTCAATAGATAGTCCATCCGGGCCTAAAAGATTAAATTATTAAATTGTATTATTGTATTTGGTCTCAATAAAATTATTTTTTATATTTTGTGTATTTTTTATTTCTTTTATTATCCTATTAAAAAAAGCAGAGCACTGTCATGGCGCCCACCACAAGTGTCATGGCGCAATGCTCATGGGGCACTGTGCATTTATTCAGGGTGAATCCACACGAGCAGTTCTATGAGCATTGACATGGAGAACTGCGCTAGTTTATAATACTGTCGATGAAGGGCTGGCGGGGAGGAAAGGGGTTAGGTACGGGTTAGATGGCGCGTACTGGTATATTCGTGATACGGTACCATTATAATATTAGTATACTGGTACGCCGTACGCGTATCGTACCAGTTGTTTATTCACACAGCAGTGTGAATATAGATACTTCATAGAGGTACGTTATTGGTAGGTGAGCCATTCACACAGCAGTGTGAATATAGATACTTCATAGAGGTACGTTATTGGTAGGTGAGCCGTACGGTGTACTAGTATGACGTACTAGTTTTATACTGGTACAATACGCACGTAGATGGCGCGTACGGTACCAGTTAGAGTTGGAGTACGCCATACCCACACTATACTAGTATCGTACGGGTTCGTGTGCTATCTGGGCTATACTAGTATCGTACGGGTTCGTGTGCTATCTGGGATATTGATAACACGTTGTTTCTCTACCTGAATAATGTCGGCAAGGTAGATTATGATGAAACAGTAATGGCAGGGTACTCTTGACGGCCATATAGTTAGCAGGGAAATAATTAATTTCCGAATGAAACCTATTTCAATTATTTAGGAATCATTTGGGCAATTTTAGGAATACAATTTCATAGTTTAGGAACTAGTAGTTCATTAATAATTAATTATTCATTCATGACCATATAGTTAGCAGGTGGTATCGTCAAATATTAATAGGGCCGACCTAAATCGATCTAAAATCATTTGAGGAGACCAAAAAAAATGATTTTGCATTTGGGAATAAATATTTATTGGTTAATTAATGGTTTTCTAGTTTTCGGCGCGCGCACAACTCTCTCAAGAACTGTAACTGCCTTTTCTTACAATCATAATCATAAAATTTTGTTTGCATATTATTCAAGTTTTTTTTTCTGCAACAAATTCAACGAATCGGGAGAAAGTTGAGAAAAGATCACAGTAAATGATTGTACACTTGATTTGTTTTAACCAATTTTTATTGACAATTAGGAAAGAAAATCTGCAGGATAACTTCTATCCTCGAACTTGTTGGAATGAATATGATCAACACTTATGTTTTCTATGAACATTATGATTAATTTAGAATAAACCTTAAATAAAAACGTCAAATATTCAAGGCATTTGTATATATGCATAACATCAACACATCGAAACCTTTTTAGGATGAAGTCCTTTCCATATGACATTTAGGCTTGTACTTATTTTACTTGTGCTTGTACTTATTTAGGTTTGTACACTATTTTATGTCGCATCGTAATAAGTTACTAATAAAAAATATATGAACAACGACTATTGAGACCGACTCTGAGCTTTAAAGAGTGTAGAATAGAAGAATTGACGTTTTAATCACATGATGACTTCGTTATTTTTACGAATATCTCTCTTTCCCACTAGTAAAGATGAAATTAGTGCAGTTCTTCCTCCACTAAATCCTTATGGTTTGACAATCGACTTTTGATCTCTTTCTGTGGTAAAGACATAGAGAATCAGGGAGAAAACGCATGTTTTATAAACATGAACAATTAAATTTTTAAAATTTCTCTTCATGCATGGGAGAGATTAGAACAATTGTTTTTAAAACGATTTTAATAAGAAATTAGGAAGAATCACCGTCATCTCCAAATGAGAGTATAAGGCAGTACAAGGCCTAATGCACCTGATAGCTTTTATCACAACACTTGAGAATGAAAATGATTTTTGTGATTCCTATTTGTTATTTTCCGCTGGTATGCAGAATATAATCATTGTTCATTTCAAGTAGCAGTTATCAATCTTTTCCAAAATTATAATCTAAGAATAAAAATATCAAATTTTGTATATATGGGTGCATATGCACAATATCAACACTTTTTGGCATGAAACTCTTTTCCTATAGCACTTAGTTTCGTATTTAGCATTAATGGATATCAGATTCATGAGTTACCTATTAATACTCCCACAATATTTAATATCTAATGATAATAAACTATTAATCATAATTAAGGACTATAACTAGGAACGATTCTTCAAGTATGGAATGGAAGAATTAATACGTTAATGGCATGAGGAGTTAGAACTCGTTAAAAATGACTTGTCTCTTCACCTGTAAATCTTGACCTCAGCATTATCCCTCCCCACCTAGGAATTTTTTAAAAATCGTCTGCTTTTAATCCACTTTTGTGACAATAAATAATAGAATACATAGAGAGATCTATCTGATAGAGTATTGTTTCTTTTGTAGAATAAATGAGTATCAAATATCCGTGTCATCTTGATCATTCTTTACGTGGAATTCCATTGCATAATATTCAATGAACTAAAAAGTTGTGTTTCGAACACACTTATCACAATAATCCCATTAGACTTATTGGTTAATCTTTCGCATATTGATCCATTCGCATACATTTCTATCAAGTCTGTATACTTCCTGGAATTGCTCACATAAAAATGCTTCGTGTTCTCTTGACTCTAAATTAAATAAGTAACTCACTGCAGAATTGTCAATCACAATGTCATAAATCGAGCAAAAAATATTAAATACAATACCGATGGATTACGATGTAAGCAGACTGCTTATAATAATCAGTCTTTTTGAAGGGGAATTCTGTACCACTCATAAGAACAGAAATTTAATCTTGCACATAGAGGACACCGAAAGGTAGAACATTGGTATCATGATGGACGGTGGAACTCTCAGTTTTCAAATCATCACATTCAATCCAATAACCCTGTAGTTGTCGTGAATATGCAATAAAGTGTTCATCCTGTTCCCGGAAATGAATGACTCCAACCAATCTGAAATAAACGAAATAATTGATTTTCGGGTAATGTAATTAATTACCCTAATGATTATTATTATCAACGATTAGTCATTATCGGTTTTATTTTCACCTGTACATTTTCCCTAGGTTTAGATGAGCAGGGATGTGATGCAAACAACACCTTATTCTTGCGTTTGTCTCGAGATTTCTGATGTCCAATTCAATGAACAAAGTTGCCTTGCATTCTAATTCCACTTTGATGGTCCCGCCGCAGCCAGATTTCTTACAGTCTTTGGTATACAAAATTTCAATAGCATTTTGCAAGCCTTGAAAACCTTCATTGCAAATGGTGTTATGATTAACATTC